GCGGTCTCTTCCCACTGAAACATGCCCCGATAACCTCCAAAGGAGGTGTTCAAGAGGCATCCAAATCAGATATTTCAACTGACTCATTTCTGTGCAAAGGAGCAGTAGCTCTACTCTGAGCTCCCCCAAAGTGGCTCACCCTATCTTTAAGACTGAGCCACCCCACCCTACGAAGAAAGATTATTTTGGCCACTTGTATCTGGGATCTTGTTCTTTGGGTCACTATCTAAACCTCCTGAACATAGTTAAGGGTTGGAACATAGGCAGACCAGTAAATCAAGATCTTTGCCTTTTGACACCACTCTTTCTACACCACAAGCAACACCCTCATAACTGATGATGAGGTCCTGATCTGTTGATCCATCTCCTGCTCCATCTTCCCTTTACTTGTGAACAAGATGCCCAGATACTTGAACTTCACCTGAGGTGCATACTCTCCCCCCAACCCAGAGATGCCATTTCACCCATTACTGATTGAGAACCATGGTCTTGGACTCAAAATATATATTACAATATATTTAGGGAGACTAGGGGTAATATTAAAATGCTTTTACCTTTGGCATTAATTGGATTTTTAGAAAAAAATTTAGCTGACCTAAAAAAATAATTGATAAAATCTATGACCAAGTTGATGACAAGCGACTTTTCGTTTCTCTGTGTTTAACTGTAAACACATTTGTCAGCAGATCCTTGTGAATCCACAGTAGGAGGAAACAATAGAGGCAAAGATGGAGCTGGATAAAAACTTGGCTCGTTTTTGTATTTATTTGTGCTCGTGGTTAGCAGGTCTCCACAGCCCATTAGGGGTTTTCACCACTCTCTCCTGTTGAAATTGAAGTTACTCATGACAGCAGCTCTTGGGGCTATAAACCTTGAACGCAATCAATGCTCATATGACCAGAGGAGCTGTTGGGGCAGAACTCAGCCTTGTCAGCTGTCTCTGCTATAATGAATGGCTGGATGAAGCCCAGCAGACTGGTAAAGAAATCTCTAGAAGGCAATCTGTATCATTGTTTTTCTTTGCAGATATTAATGAGAAACAGACTGAACTCCATCATTTTTAAGTGTCAGCTAAAATCTCACAAACAGGCCAGAAGGATGAGTCCCAGTTGTTTGTTTCAAAATGTGACAGTTATTAAACTAAACAGTGTTTTAGTCTTATCAGTGTATGAGGACATGGTCATCCATACATGATTGTTGAAGATAAAAATCAGTAAAAAACCAAATCATTATTCAAAATTTTATTATTGCAAAGGAAGCAAAGGCTAACCAGTGAAGGTCAAAGGAAGAGTAAAGAGAACAACCAAAAGAAGAATGATTTTAGGTCAAACATATTAATGTAATGCCAAAATAATGAGTGTTTATCTTAAAGCCCTATGGTAAACCCACAGAGCCTTCAGTTTGGCAAATGTGCTTTAATATATGAGTAATTTAGCACATCTTTACAAGTTTTATATATCTGACACGCATGTACTTGTACTTAAAATGTTTATTACATTATTCCCTCCGATATACACCTCCGACTGAGGTAGTGACATGTTCCTCAGTCAGAAAAGAGTGGATTGTTGGGGGTGAAGGTCTGCTTTAAGTGGAGGAGTTCAAGTGTCTTGGGGTTTTGTTCAAGAGCGAGACAAAAATGGAGCATTAGATTGATTGACAGTTTGGTGTGGCTTTTTCAGTGTTCTGGACTCTGTACCAGTCCGATGTGAAGAGGGAGCTGAGCTGTAAGGTGAAGCTGCTTACCGGTCGGGCTACCTTCACCTGTGGGGTCTACTCCAGTCCAGGCATGTCCGACTGGGAGGAGACCCCTGGGATGACCCAGGACAAGCTGGGGAGACGATGTCTCTTGTCTGGCATGAAAACCTTAGAATCCTCCCAGAAGAACTGAAAGTAGTGACTGTGGAAAGAGAGGTCTGATCCTCCCTGCTGGAGTGGATGGATGGATGGATGGATGGATGGATGGTTGGATGGATGGATGGATGGATGGTTGGTTGGATGGATGGATGGATGGATGGATGGATGGATGGTTGGATGGATGGATGGATGGATGGATGGATGGATGGATGGATGGACAGTTCTATAAAATGATTGTACAACAAGAAAGAAATGAAATCCTGCATGTCAAAATAATGTATCGCAATTAGGCAAGGTTTGTTCAAGCCGATTCCCCTTTTTTATTATCTGTGATTATCATGTTTAAAAATAGACAGGCTCGTTTATTTTGAATATTTATGTCAAGACCGAGAATAATTCAGCAACAGGAAGCCCTCAATTAGGAAATCTCTGAAGTTGGAATAAAAGCTGTTCTGTGTGGAAACAGGTGGATCATTACAAGTGTTTAATTAAATGCTCAATCATCCTCAGAATGAGCATGGAGGAACGGAAAATGATTCTGGTACAAAACCAGCCTTCAGCTGTGGAAATTATCTTCATTCTTCCAGCATGTTCCTCTCATAGTGTTGTAATTGATGCTCATGGAGCTGTGGGTAAAACTTATGACCGATGATAATAGCTGTAGGAATGCTCAAAGGGGGATTTGAAACGAATATTATATTTTCCACAAACTGAAGGCGACGGCAGATTTTTGTCGGAGCAAATGACGATGACTGAGAAGTGTAGGACGAGGCTTGTAATCTGACACGGTTTCTGGAGAGGAGTGGAAGCAGAGGGGATGGATGTAAGGAACATGATTTTTGTTTCCAAGGCAGGATTTTGTGCCACCTGATCACAAGCTGCTCAGGTGAACCATAATGACCAAAACGCCCGATGGTTCTTACTGTGACCGTTCACCCGTGTGTCACATTTCATTTCCCAGAGTCAGTACTAAAAGTTTTTCCCTTATTTGCTCTCAGTCCATGTTATATTAAGGCAAGTGGAGATGGTGTGTGTGTGTCTGAGTGAGTGCACACCTCTGCTCTGTGTGTTTTATCAGTTGAGGAAGGCTCAATCAGGAGTTCATTTATCATCGCCATTAAATCAAATCTCCTTCAGGCTGATTTGATCCTGCAGTGGTGAAATAACACCTTAAGTGACTTTATTATGTGCACTGGCATTTCCGCTGACCTCATGGCAAGCAGTTAAGTTTTATACCTGCAAAGGAAATAATCCGGAGTTCTCTCACAGGGGGTTTAAAAGTTTCAGGAGTAGGAGGCTATTAAAAAAAAACAGCTGACCATTTATAGGGTGAAGCTGAACAAAATGCATATTGTAGAACATTAGTAATGCATATTACTTGCGTTTGGAACAAAGCTGGGGAAAAAGAAAAAGCCTCAAAATCGGGTTTAATAAAAGGTGTGCCTTGCCCTGTTTTTAGTAGAACAATTTGACATTAGCTTGTGTCACTATGTGACATCATAAGAGCTGGATGGACCATTCTAGTTTAAGTTAATAAAAATTTTTTACAGCACTTATTCTTAAAAGTATCTTTATTGATGAATGATTTATAATATCTTTAACACATTAAGAGTATAACAGTCCCAATGCTGGTTCAGCATTTACTCGTTGGTTTTCCTGTTTTTTTGAGATTCAGGTGATGCTTCTTTTTGTTTTTTGATTTTTATTTTTTTACTTTTTAAGATATCAAACTTCATTTACAAATAATTTCCACGTGAAAATACATTCAAATCTGTTCAGCTCTTTTCAGCTTTTTGTGATACTTTTACTTTTTTGCTACAGTTCTCCTTTTAGCTTTTAGCTATGCGATTATGCTACTTTTAACTTTTACTCTGCCATTTGAAACTTTTAGCTTTTAACTAGCTTTGTGAAACTTTCAATTTCTAGCTAGCCTTTTGCTATACCTTTTAGCTAGTCTTGTGATACTTTAGTTTTTTTAACTCCTTTTTCTTTTAGCTAAAATTTGGCTACTTTAAGCTTCTCGCTGTCAGTTTGATACTTTTAGGTATTACCTGAATTACCCTTTTTATTGCTATTTTTAGTTTTGAACTGGTTTTTGTTTTTTCCAGCTTTCAGTTAACATTTGAAGCTTTTAGCTCATTGGTATTTTGATACTCTCAACATGCTTTATGCTACATTTAGCAACTAGCTGTCATTTTGGTTCTTTTAGATCTTAGTTAGCTTTTTAATACCTTTTTTAAATTTTTGCTAGCTTTTGTTACTTTTGGCGTTCAGCTTTGAAAACTCAGTTTTGGCTTTTCCATTGAATTTCAGCAGTCATTCAGCACTTAGAATTCACATTAAGATTTTCCAGGAAAGCCCTGTTTCTCAACAGGAACACTGCAGAAAATAATTCCTGTTTGTAATTTCCCTTTCTAACAACTCATCTCTGTCTGATGAACAATAATAAACTTGTAACTGCACACAACTACTGTAAAAATATTATTATGTGCAGTACACTCCAACATCATTACCCAGTACTACAGTAAATATGCAAATAACATGTACCAGCTATCATTGCACTACTTTTGTCAGATTTTCCATCCAACAGTTACTGATGGTTTTTAGTTTTGTTTTATTGTTATTATGAGTGTTGTTTTTAGTGTTTTTAATTTTGAACTTGTCTGCTGCTAAGATAATCTAATTTCCCTCAGGAGATCAATAATTCAAATTCAATTCAAAAATACTTTATTGATCCCAGGGGGAAATTAGGTACCTTTCTATTTTAAATCGTGTGAACATCACATTGAATCACTTGTTACGGAAGCAGAAAAGAAATTTCTTTCAGCTTCTGTTTGTCTGTTTGTCATCACACACTCACTCAGACGCTCTGCAGTCCTCTCTGAGGTCATGTTGGCAACAGGATTATTCTTTCCGATGACACTTTTGTCCTCGTCTATGTTTCTCTGGAGTAAAGTGGCAGTGAAGAAGCTGTTTCCTCCTTTTTGTTCAAACTCTTTCATCTCCTTTGTCATTTTATTCCATTCTGTATTTTTCTGGCCATCATTCCCAAGCGACAGTATTTATTATTTTTAAAAAAGTCTTACATTTATGCAATCACAAAACAGAAGACGTTTATATTCAGGCTTTTCCTGTTTGTTTTTCAGGGCAGCTGGAAGTATCACCACCTACTTCAGCCCAGTTAAGATACGGTAAGACATCGGTTTCTTTACTTCATTTCAAATGGTGCAGAATAGTTTTTATATTTGTTTCTCTCTGTGCTGATTTCTGTTCAGTAACAACAACTTCAGCTAAACATCTGAAGAGGTGCTTTAATCACAGAGCAGGATGTTCAGGACAGGAGGAGCTGTGAGATACTATAAATCAGCCTGACATTTTTCCTCATTAACATATAATTATTATACATTGTTTTAACACTAACAAAAACACACTTTTTATTTCTGAAATTCTGTTTTTTTTTGGTCAGCTAATTTATATGAGCTGTAAGTTATTTTTGTCAGTTTTTCTGCTTCTAAATGTTGTGAAAAATGTATAGTTTTTTTTCTTTTCACTTTTTTGTAGAAAAGTAAACCTGACAAGATGTTCACGTAAGGTTTTGTAACTTGTTGGGAAAAAATATATACAGTAGTGTAGCATTTTCCTCCTTCGATTAATAACTTCTGATGGATATAACTTGTTTCTATGACAGTTTAAAGGAAGAGATCAAATCCACTCATTTCAGACTTCTTTTCAAAGATCTTGTATGTTTCCTTTGGGCTCGAATTAGCATATCTTACACCAACCCCCCACCAGACTTCCTGACACCTTAATGTTAATAGGATTGTCACATTCCTGAACCCCACAAGTTGGAGTGACGATAAGGACTGCCTGTTTGCTCCTTTTCAAAGGGGGTCATAAAATGCCTTTAACAGACTTCAGTGACTTGAACAAAGGAAATCACATGCTTGTTTAAATGAAAGAAAAAAAGAAGAAACCAAATTGAATGTTTTTTGTACAATTGTCTGTTTTATATCAAAGAAATGTGAATTAATCTTCTCTTTCACAGAAGGAACCAAACCCATTGTTCTAGCTGTGTGTATTTTGGTGTTAATTGTTTTGATGAAATGTTTTCCTGAAAAATGATGTTTCTGTTAAACTGTGTTTATTACAAGAGTTAACCTTAGAAAACGTTAGACTTTGAATTTTTAACTAAATGTGACACTCTTATTTTACTGAGGTAAAATAGATGTCTCTCCCTTTAATTAGACGCAAGATAATTAGACTAAAATACTCCCTTTCTTTGTCCTGAAGCAAAAGTTTTTCCCTCCAAACATTTGATTTGTTAAAAACTTGGTAAAATTTTTCAATTGGCTAACTAAAACCTTGACTCCGCCCACAACAGAGGTCTTAAAAGTTAGTGCAGACAAGGGCATGCAGTTCAGTCAGTTTGTTTTCTTAGAAGCTAGAAACAACTTTCACAGCTTGGCAGAGGCCCCCTTCAGCCCCTCCCACGGAAGGACCAGGATGGGGGGGGGGTCGTTCAACATCTCCGCTGATTTGTTCGAATAGCTCGTTCATCACACTTCGATTCAGTCTCTGAGTTTTGATTTTATAGGAGTCAAATAAGCTAATGGTAATTCATCCGTCGTTTTAGTTCGTTTTTCTCTACAAAGTGAAGATCAAATTAAGAAGTCTTACAGCTACCTTGAGAAGGACCAGACTACGAGTCACCAGAGAGAGAAACCCCTTTTCTGACCAAGGGACCAGTTGAGTTTATCAGGCAGACCGCCTGACGTCCAGTTTGCATGGAGAGCCTATCTGGAGAACAAACTCCAGAGATGACCTTCCACCGCTGACTTCACCCTCCTGGTACCCACATGGCAGAACAACAAGGGTAAAGGTGAACACTTGTCTTGGTGACACACAGGTGCTCAGACGTAAATTTTATCTTTATTTTTGTATGAAATTTGGTAAACTAAACGATTTTTCTACCTAATTTAACTAGGACCCCCCTTAGTTAAATCCACAGCTAAAAGCAAAACTCACCTCTTAGGGTTTATTTTATGTTTATTTATTTGTTTGTTTATTTGTTTGTCTGTTTGTTTATTCACTCGTGATAAACTCTCTCAGCTTTTTACCTGGTTCAAACATTTCATTATTCATTCATTACTTGCCTTAGTTGTAAATACATTTAATCTGTAAATAAATGGCCCGTGCGGAACGTGCCAACATAAGCTAATCTCATTTTTGTGTCTTGATGAAGATATTCTGGTTCTGATAAGACAAGAACTCATAAATCAATTTGGGAAAATTTATTCTGAGACTGATTACAATAAAGTTACAGTTTTTCATTTCTTTCCTGGGTCAATATCTGATCGAATTAAGAATGTGGTGCTCCGAGGAATAATATATTGTATTATATATATTCATTTGTGAATATATTTAAATATATTCACAAATGATCCATTTCAGAATTCTAGCGTTTAATACCCCTACAGTAGTTTTGTCTTAAAAATAAAGTAAGTGCTGCACCTGAGAACAGTAAACAGCTGCATTAACCTGAAAAATATAGTTCAGAACTTGTGAGGTGGTTTAATTAAAAATTTTTGAACAAAAAACATCTTACTTGTGTCAGATAGCTTTTTGAAAACTTCAATTTAGAAAAAATAGTTTAATTCTGACTGAACTGATGAGCTAGTCTCAATGTGACCATGAACAAAGTACAAATGTAAAAACCTTGATAATGCCTTCAGTTTCACATGTTTATTCTGAAATATGATATTACTGCTGGAAATGCTAAAGCTAGCTGCTACTGCCATTGTGCTTGCAAATAACCACAAAAAAGAAAGAGGCTTACTGGTTTACAGACTGTCCTACTTATGTTGCTGCCTGTAAATCCTAAAAGGATTTAAAATGCAGTCCAGTTATTCAAATAGAAAACTAGAAAATTCACAAAGGATTAAAAGTACGTCAGTTTAGGATGAGCTGGAGTTAAACAAGATGAGGAAGCTCTTTCTTTCAGTCTGAAGCTGTTGGATGTGAGCTTGTCTCTGGCACAAATCAGTTATAAAAAAAGATCTCTTCAGTTGGGAAGGTCAGACACCAAACATCTACCTGTTCAGTTTAAAGCTGCCCAAATATTCTCTCTGGTGCTCAGTCAGTCATGTGTAATCATTTAGCCTTTTGAAAGTCCCTTGCATCATTTCATTTCTCCTGTTTCTATGTTGTACACAGTACTCTGATCAAGCTTTTTTTTCACTGAAGCAACAGTGTTGAACACAGCTGTGATCACGATGCTCTGCAACAGACATTTTTTTTGTTTTCCATTTGTATATTAGCTCAACTTTTTTTAAAAATGTATTTGAACCAAACACCATGACAGACATGTTATAAAATGAGATATTTCCTAATAACTGAATAAAGTTTGTCGATAATAAAACATCCTTCGTAGATGTTACAACTTATCACTATATTTTTTAATGTAATTTGAAAAGGATTTGGATTCTGTTTTTGTTTTACTCAACGTCCCAACTTCACTGGAAGTGGGGATGCAAAATAAGAACAGCTGAAGAATAAAGACTCAGCCTGATGGTGGCATTAGAAGAAAGGTCACTTGCCGACTAAAATCAATTCACATCAGTCACAAAGAAGGAAACCTGCCTGTGAAATCCATGAAAACAAATAAACTAAATATAACTGAAACAGTAACACAAAGGTTAACTTCCCCGCCAACACTAAACTCTCCAGACTTTATTGGTTCATAAAAATCTCCACAGACGGTTCATTAATAAGATATAAGATAGGCAAGAGGATAATTTTAAAAACAGTTATAGAAACACATTGCAGGATGTAAAATGTGTTTCTGACTAAACATAAACAATGCTTTGTGATTTAAACTGCAGCAGTTGATGAATGATTTGTTGTCTTGTGGAACCAGAAAGATTCTTCTAATCTTCTAGTGGTAGATTTCACACTTCTGGTCCTGTTGGTACTGCATCACTCTCTCTCTTTTTTTTCCCAACCACATCTAAATCTTCCTGTATCGACAGCTGGAGTGCTCTTGTTAGATTTCACCCAACAGTTTTCGGTGTAAATGGTCTGTGAGGCATCAGGAGGTGAGAAGAGTCACAGAATAATATGTGCTGAAGGAGAGAAATCATGTTTCTGCAGCTTCTAAACTCTGAACTCCAATAAGAACAATAAGTTTTCTTTTCATGTTTAGAATTCAGCTTCACAAGCACAGACAGGACAACAGTCAACTTACAGTATATCATCTATACCAGGAGTGTCTAAAGTGTGGCTCGTGGGCCATTTACAGTTTAATTCATTAAAAAAATAGTATTTACCACATTGCAATTACTGCCATGTGATGATGTATTTTTTGTTTGAAACACACTCACTGTCAGGTGTGCAAGGCTAACCCTAACACCACAAACTTGTTTAATCACCTGAAACACAGACATAAACCGGAGTACAAGGAAAGCTAAGAAATGCTGGCAGAGGCCACAATATCAGCTACGTGCAAGTGAAATTATCATCAATCACCATATTTATTGTTATCAGCTAAATGCCACAATTAATCATAATAATTTAATTTTTATGCCAGTATTGCCTAACTTTAGCAGATAGACACGTTTTGCAAATTTTACGGGAGAGATTTTTCTACGGAATGCCCCCTCTGGGTCGGGAGATCCCTGCCTCATGAGGAGGAGTTTAAGTATCTTGGCATCTTGTTCGTGAGTCCATCACTACCAGCTTTACGCTTTCTCTTTTTTACCACTCTTTTAGGGCAGACATGTTTGTGTGGGTCCAGAAGATTTGAAAACAAAGGGAGGAAAAAAAATACCAGTGTGGTTTGAGCTGCGAACCAACAAAATTTGCACGTCAAGCGTGTACCACCAGGTCACCTGACAATTCATTATCCATTTTTTTATTTATATAAATATATTTTTTATCTCATTAAAAACTAAAATGTACTTTAAATCAGAGATTCTTAACCCATGGGCCGTGGCCCAATTGTGGGCCTCGAGCGCCACCTTGAGGGCCTCAAAAAACAACAGTTTTTAACTTTGGGCTGCAGAGGGTCGTGGGACCGCATTGATTTTAAATAAGGTGCAATACACCTTCTCACCACTAGCAGCAGTAGTGCGCCACTCAGAAGTTTAACAACTTTTTTAATATGTAGAAGAAGAACATTAGAAATCTGCCGAGAATGGAAACATTTTAAATGGAAAATAGAAGCAAAAATGAAGGTAACCCATCAAAAAAAGCCAGTTTGTCACTAATATGAAGTGCAGCTTCTGTTTTTACCATGCAATATTTTAAAAGTTCAAAACATCATCAAATACAGTTGCAGATACAGCTATATTTTAATTTGCATTTTAAATTAATTTTTGTAGTTCATTTTAAAACATTTTGATGTATTTTAAAGAAATTTTAAACTTGTCAAAAAGCTGTTGTTACTGTTATTGTTGGTCACTAATATGAAGAGCAGCTTCTGGTTGCAAAAGTTTAAAAAAGCTATATTTTCATTTGTACTTTATCATATTTATTTTTACAGGTTTTTTTAAACATTTACATTAAACTTTTTAAATTAATTTATTTTATGCCCATAATTTTATATTTTTGAATTGTCTATTTTTGTTATTGTTCATATTAAAAATATATAGATTTTTGTGCTGATAAGCCTGACTGGTCTGTTGGCTGACCTTTGTATTTGTTCAAATAATTGTTATGGGCATGTTACAATAGTTTTATTTTTAAACTGTAAGTGTATTTAATTTAGTTATGTTAGTTATGATAGTTTAGCTGTAATGTAAATACAATAAAAATTAAACCAAGGTTTAGAATAAATATCATTTTGATTCATATGGTAATGCGTGACTGGGCCTCGTGCCACTTTATGTTCAACAAATTGGGCCCCGAGGGAGGTACACTTCGCTGCAGCATGTAGAACGGGGCGGTGACAGACCTTTCCGTCAGTCCCATACCTTATATGGAAATGGGACTATTGCATTCCGGAAATGAAGGTTGCTCCTTAAAGACGCGGGATTAAGAGAGCAAAGGAAGAAGAAAGGAAGAAGTTAGTGAGTTTCTTCTACTCACGTTCAAGTACTCAGAGCATTATTTATTAATTTCTTTTATCCACCTCCCCAAACACAGACCCTCAGGTTAACCTCACAGGCCTAATGCCTAAGGTTAGTTTGTTACTGTAATATAATATTAATATCCAAAAACAACAAAGATTTAATAAAGATTTGAAAATGGAAAAGGGACATACCACGTGACATAACACGTTTTGTAGCCATTTCCTTACTGTAAAATTTGTATTTTTAATGTTGATAGTGTTCGATAGAAAATAGTGTCACTAGCGCCCCCTTCATTTTCGGAATGCAATAGTCCCATTTCCATATAAGGTAAGGGACCGACGGAAAGGTCCGTCACCGCCCCGTTCTGCATGCTGCAGCGAAGTGTACTTGCCCCGAGGTCAAAAAGTTTAAGAACCCCTGCTTTAAATCACAAGAAAACAAACAACAAACTGTGTTGGGTTGAAAAGCAACCCAACACCTCAACAGGAATGAATGTTTTTCTTTACAGAAATTAAATGTTTGTAAGACTTTTTTGCTTTTAATCTACAATTTAAAGCAAAAATATTTAAATACTTTGTCCTTTCCCTAAGTTTTTGTGTTAATGTTGTTGAAACACACAACACTTACTGTTGTTTATACTTATAAAAGTGACCCTTGTTGCACTGTTAGAAAAACTGCAACAATTATAAAACTATTTATTATAACCTAATACCTGCTCTGTCTAATAAAACGACTGAATGCTGAGTGGACTGAATGTGTTGAAGTGAATTATTATTAAATATTATTTATCTTTTCCAGAGTTAAGATTTTAGTATTTCCTGATATTGTTTTAGCTTCCCAAACAAGAATCCTGCAAAGGAAACATTACAAACGTGTAAATATTAGTATAAATTCAAAGTATTTCTTTTCAGTTTCAGTATTTTTATTTCTTTTTTTTGTCAGCTTTTGTGTTTCTGTGCAGCATTCCCTCTGAGATTCAGCTCTCCCTGTTCCAGCCATGTTTCATGTATTTAAAGTCCTGTGCCTGGTTATAGATTTTATATCAGAGTGAAGTTTATTTATTTGTTTGTTTGTGTTTACTTTACAGTTCTGCTGCACAACGCCATCCCTTTCGTTGGGTTTGGATTCCTGGACAACTGCATCATGATTGTTGCTGTAAGTGTTAGGTTTCTTCTGAACGTTTAAATAAAAAGGGCGTTTTGACAATAAAAGATATTGTTGCTAAAGATAAATGCTGAATCTAAATTAGTTCAATGTGAGGAAACACTTCCACACATTTTTACTGCGTGACCTTGACAATCATGAGTGCTTTAATTAAAAGAAAATGCTGTGTATTCTCCTAAAGCTGCACACAACTCTGCATCAAAATATAGAAACAAGATAATAAAACTTCTTTATGCTTTTGAATAGTTTTGTTTTCCTTCCTGCTTGTAGCTGCTCTGCTGTTTCCTACCTGTTTTATCCATCTTTAAACGGTTCCCGAGTCGTTCGTCTGTCCCCAGAGAGCTCATTCTGTCTCATTTTCTCCCCTGAAGTTGTTCAAAGGAATCCTAACAGAACAAAATAAAATATAAACACAGAAGTCTGATATCGCTTGTGAACTGAGCTGGTTTTGTTTGGATCATACTAACTATAAAAAGAAGTAAATAAATGAAGAGCTTTCCTTTGTTATATTTCTGTTTTCTTTCTGTGTGTGTGTGTGTGTGTGTGTTTTCCTCAGGGCACACAAATCGAGTTATCTATCGGCGTTATTCTCGGCATTTCTACTATGGCAGGTAGGAGAATCTCTTAATCATATTTAGTGCAACTTACAGCTTTCTGATTGATTTTATTTATTGTTTACCTCTGTAATTTTTCCCCATGGAAAATGCTTCGATTAAAAACCCTCAGAAACATCCAAGTTGTTTGTTTTTTTTAAAGCAAATCTTTGCAAATTATGTATGGTCTATACAGATCTTCAAGGAATGCTGCTTCTTAATTTATTTATATATTTATTTATTTATTTATTTATTTAGTTTTGGTACTAATAATCTCTTAAACATAAAGACTTTCACAGATTTGCTGAACTGTTTTGCCTCAGAAAGACTGCACTGTTTAATAATGAAGAAACTAAGCTGTCAGTATATTCAAACAACGCTATTTAGAACAAGCAAAGGGTACTGAATGAGCATTTTATAACAAAGATAATGCTGTTTACCAGCAGGCAGAAATATACACTTAGCTCGAAGAGCAACATTTGCATATTAATATTATCACTTGTTCCTCTTCAGTGTATTTATTACCGACACTTATTGCTTCTCATGCTGTGAGGGAGCTGCAGTCTTAACAAGAGGCACACAAATGATGCGTGTCCTGAGAGCTGGAGAATAAAACCTTTTTTGTTTTGTGTTTTTCAAGCCAGGATAATTAACTATTACAAACAAAGGTTTTATAGTTGTATCATTTTTCTAAATTCAGTCTGTATTTGTTCTAACTAAGCTAATGGCAGCTGGAGTTCTTAGCTTAAGGCTTTACTAGTTTTCTGTTTGGAAGCTAAAATAGCAGAAACAAAGAAAAGTCTTGATGCAAATTAGAGGCCTGAGCTTTTCTAGTCACTGACAAAATGTTGAGCACCCACATGGTGTGATGTAAATTAAATAAAACTTCAAGCCTTGTATGGTTATGTGACTGTGTGTTAATAATCCCAATATCAGATCTATTGGATGATCAAAGTTTGGCGAGTCAGCCCACAGATTTAGAAGAATGGTTCTGGGTTGGAGTTGTCATTTTGTTTTCAGGAGTAGCTTCGCCCGTCTCTTCAACACGAGACCTGAAATGAATTGTTTTGAGTAATGTGTGATTGGTCAGGAGTTTGTGGGCATGTTTGTTTAAACGCAAAAGCTCAGGCGAAAATTTCAACATTTTGTTTCAACTAATCTGCTTCTCCGGGTTGGGGGTGAAGTTCTGCCTCAAGTGGAGGAGTTCAAGTATCTTGGAGTTTTGTTCATGAGTGAGGGAAGAATGGAGCGTGAGATTAAGAGACGGATCAGTGCAGCTTCTGCAGTTTTGCGGACACTGTGCCGGTCTGTTGTGGTGAAGAGGGAGCTGAGCTGTAAGGTAAAGCTCTCTGTTTACCGAACAGTACGTTGTTCAGTTCCTCACCTCTGGTGACGAACTTTGGGCAGTGACCAAAAGAACAAGATTGCGGATACAAGTGGTCTAAATGCGTTTTCTCTGCAGGGTAGCTGGACTCTCCCTTAGAGATAGGGTAAGAAATTCAGTTATCCGGGAGAGACTCAAAGAAGACTTGCTGCTCCTCCACATCGAGAGGAGCCAGTTGAGGTGGTTTGGGCATCTAGTAAGGATGCCTCCTGGACGCCTCCCTAGGGAGGTGCTTCAGGCATGTCCAACTGGGAGGAGGCCATGGAAGACCCAGGACACACTGGAGAGTCTATGTCTCTCGGCTGGCCTGGGAATGCCTTGGAGTCCTCCCAGAAGAGCTAGAAGAGGTGGCTGGGGAAAGAGAGGTTGGGCTTCCCTGCTCAAACTGCGGCCCCCGCGACCCGACTTTAGATAAAGCGGAAGCTAAAGGATGGATGGATGGAAACTCTGCTTCCAGAAGCCGGTTGTAATACGTTCAAGCAGCATGGTTAGTTTTGAGGAGAAGTTGTATGAGTCAGTCAGAAAGTACATCCATCTATATGACACTTTCAGACACTTATAAAGGTGGTCAATTGGCCAAAAACTCATGGATGGAAAGAGCACAGACATAGTGTTCAAAGGAATCCGTCTACTGAAAAGTGTGGCTCAATTCGTTTGTGGCCAAACAGCAAATTCATGGACGTAGTGGAAACTCCAGTGGGAAGAAATCTGTGTTATGACGTGTAACGTGCTGAAACAAACGTCTCGGCACCACAGGATAGAGAATCGACTGTTCGGCTTTGGATTGAGTATCTTCGGTCCTTAAGACACACCAGTGCTGGATGTCACTGAGTATCTGTACCATCAGAGTCCTTTGAATCACTACTTGAGGTGACTCTATCGCTCTCAACGCTCTGTGTCTCTCCACTACTTTGGCGGGATGAGTTCTCTCCTTGAACGCTGCCCTACATGCACATGATGGCTAACATCAGTAACACAGAACAGAGATTCGTTGCAGAACATGACATAATGTCACTTGTCAGTTCATGCCTCCCACTTTACAGTACCATTCTAAACATATCTCCCTGCTCTGGTGTTAATGGCAGCCAACTCTCTTGTCAATGGACTTCTAGTTCTGCTGATGCTGGTCATGGAGACATGGCGAGGATGTGCAAGGATGTTGTAAAAAGACCTAAACCTGTGTCTGCAGAAACTGCCTGATAACACCATCACTCTGCTTCTCAATTAGAACAAACACTGGTGTCCGTTCTAATGGAGCCAGCTTTTTACAAATCAAATCATTTACATGCCCACTGCTGGACTGGACCAACCGTTTGCTGTAAATTTGCAGCAATGCAAATTTTTTTTTTTGTTTTGTTTTATTGACAAATGCCTCACAGCAAGAAGGTCCTGGGTTCAATCTCCCGATCCAGACCGGAGGTCTTTCTGTGAGGAGTTTGCATGTTCTCCTCGTGTTTGTGTGGGTTTTCTCCGGGTACTCTGGTTTCCTCCCACAGACCAAAAACATGTTCAGTAGGTTGCCTTCAGGCCCAGGCCTCCCTTGCAAAAGAGATCTGTGATCTCAATGAGATTTGCCTGGTTAAAATAAAAAAATAAAAAAAATATGAGTGGTCATAAATGTACCACTAGCCAGGTGCCCACCGGATTAAAGCACAACCTCAGTCTATTTACTCTCAGCTTCACTCAGTCCTGTCAGACAGAGGACATCCTAAAATCAGAAAAGGTTACGGATATTTAACCTCGTCCATTGTGATCGATCACTTGTGTCATGTCTGCAGTGGAAACCACTTCTCAAAACTGATGAAGGAAAACAAAGTGCCTCAGCATGCTTGATGAAGACTGGGTCAGGAAGATGAATATTTTGCTGTTGATTGGATCTAATTACTAGATTTAATGGTGTGAAAACTCAAAACTAAGAAGCCGTTTATTAAAGTTTAACATAGTGACATGTTTCTGATGAAACTTGCCTTTAAAGGTCTTTATGCCTCCTTAGACAATTTTGATTGATCTTTTTACAACAATAACACAGGAACAAAGGCATCTGAAAGTCAAATTTATGGCTAGCTTTCTGTTCTCCCAGACTCTCTGGAAAGGGTTTTTTTTTTTTTTTTTTGCAGAGAAAGAAGCTAAGATGGTAGATTTGAAACAAATGGAAACAAATCAGCATTTTGCTGAAGGAGGTTTTGTTCCAGGTGGCAAATAAATCTGGTAACAGCCACAGGTTCTCTTAGATCCAGAGTCAGGGTGCAGCGCAAAAAGACAATCTTATCTGAGCGTCTGTGTGCCGATCTGGTCACAGTCAAGATTTTTAGTTTTTGTTTTGTTGTTGTTTTTTGTGTGTGTGTGTGTTTTTGGTGTATTTCATGTGGTTTGCATCGCTGTTGCTATAGTTATGCAGAGATCAGATACTCAGAACCTCATTTGTTTGTTGAGGTTTTTCCTCTAAAACAGTCGTGGCTGAAAATTGTTTAGCAAATTTCCACTTTTTTTCCTTTTGAAGTGTTATCAAATTCATTACAAAGAGTTATTTTTTCTTGCCCAAAGCTTTAAAATAAAAAACACATTTTCACTGAGTGTTTTGTTCTTTTGTGAAAAATGTATCTAAAATCACTCTTATCGGTCTATTCAGTGAACTAAATAGCTTAAAATAAGAGTAAATGTGTTTAAATGCATTGTCTTTTTCTACCTGTACACATTGAGCATAACCAAATAGTCAGGAATGATTTAACAAGTTTTTGATCTGTTTTATAAACACTTTTTTGGCAATGTGCTTAAATTTTTCATGTAAAACTGAGTGCCTGTTTAACGAGCCAGTATCTCTACTGGGTTAAGATTGGTGTCTGACTCATTTCATTTCGTGTTTTATTGCTCTATAAGTTGTTTTTATGATTTCATTTTAAACTGTTCTGCATACTGGCTCACAAATGCTGGCTTTAAGTGACAGCTCCGAGTGAAAAACCAGGAAGTACTTAAAAAAAAAAGAAGACGATGGATGTGGGAATAAATGAAGTGCCGGTTTATCTCTTGCTCTTAGCGTTTTACTGGAACCTCAGCTTGATTAGCATTTTTTTTTAAATAAAATGATTCCACTGTAGTCAGGAGAAGCATCAGACGTTCTGTCTCTTCTCAATAGAAGCCTTGGGATTTTTTTTTTCCAACGCCGTTTTGTAATCATTCTTCTCTTCTCTCATTCTCTGCAGCTGCTGCACTTGGCAACCTGGTATCAGATTTGGCAGGACTAGGGTGAGGAGTTCTCTCTCACATAAACACACACGTTCTTCTATCCTCATGGGGACGTTGCATTGACTTCCATTCATTTCCAGTCATTTCTATAGCCTAAAGGCCTCTGCATACTCTATCCAAACTGCCGAAATCAGCTCGTTGTTACAGTTGCATTATTTTGCTGGGACCTGATTACGTTTCCTTCTGTCAAGGACAAATTGCATTTGATCACAAACGTGTTGCCTCTGTGTCTATTTTAGTTTCTGTTACTCTTAAATAACCATATTTTGTCTCATTTCCTCCAAGTTCTCTTAACAATTTGTAAAGGAATAGTTATCAGCATCAGTTGTCAGTTATATTTAATAAACATTATTAGATCATAACATTAATTGTTGTTTTCTAAACAAATCCCAGAAACATTGAAGACACTTTATAACAGAGAACATGTTACCTGTCTGCTCTGTCAGTGATAAATTAGTCAGACTGTTGGGACGGTCTCAGCGGACTCTGTTTTGCTGTCATTCAACCATCAGATGAAAAATCAAACTTTCTGTGGTCAGTTTGTCAAGGTCGTACCTGATGGGCCCCGAGTTATTCTGTATTCCCTTCATATGTTTGATTGATTCATGGCAGGGAGTGTGAAGGCTTTTTGCCTGCTGATCTGTCTCAGAGGAGCTCTTTTTGCATCGCAGCTTGTTTTTGTTTAGAAGATGTTTGGTAAAATTTGCATGAGATTTATCTTGAGAGTCGGTGACAGTTTAGGTGACTTGGTTGGTTTCTTGTTGAGGTGGTGAATAAACATTTACTCACATACATGAGGAGATCTCACATGATGCTTTACTGCTGTTTGATTTACTATAAGCCAATACTAGCTGCACTGAAACCACCTTACTTTTTACATAGATAGGAGGGGAACACAGAAACACTAGAAAGAAACAAAGGCAGAGAACACACAGACCATGACACTCCTTCCTTTCCAGGTCACTGGTGCCCATATCCAGCAGGCGTGGGGTGTGGGGTACGTTCTGGACAGGTCACAAGTCCATCACAGAGCCACATAGAGACAAACAACCAGTTAGCCTAACAGTCATGTTTTTGGTCTGTGGGAGAAAAGTGGAGTACCTGGAGAAAACCCCCACATCCCCAGCTGGGATTTGATCTAGCAACCTTCTTGCTGAGAGACAACAGCTCTACCAGCTGAGCCTCATTACACTGCTAGATAAGAAACCAAACATCTCTAATATTTATTAGTTTTTTTAAGTAATTTAACATTTTTGCCTCATTTGTTTTTATTATCAAAGAAAAGATTTGCTCATTTGAGGATTATCATTGTTTGACTTCAGAAAATGCACCTGAATCTTATTTAATTCAACTCAGCCAGGATTTAATAAAATAACAATGTAAAGATTTACAGTAAAGGTTTACAGTAAAAGTTTACAGATATCAGGGTTTTTGGTTTTAGTCAGTGTGAGGGTAATCAGATTTAATCGTTTTAACATCTAAATATCCCAAATGAACCTTTTCAGTTTTAATTTGCTGAGAGCAAACC